TTAGCTTCATCTGGATCCTCATAAAGTTTATCAAAGCCTGTTAGAGGAACTGTTGCAGTTTAAATACCAGCAGCATCGTCTCAGATATCAGGTTTATAGTCCCCACCCTGCAGAGAAATTAGAATCTGAGCTTGAATTCCAGCCAAACCCACGTCCTCCATTTCCAGGTGCTCAGCAGGTGTTTGGCAGTAGAGACGGACAGGGGAGTGGATCTTCACTCCTGTCCCGTCCCACTCCCACAGAAAACACTCCTGTCCCGTCCCACTCCTGGTGAAATTACTCCCTCTCATTCCCCCTCCCACTCAGAATGACTCCCGCTCCTGCACCCCTCCCATTCTGGTTGTCATTATAGTTGTTATTATAGTGTAGGCCTAAAGGAAAAAAAAACTACAAAATGGCGGCGCCAGTACTGGATTTTTTTCTATTTTATTTTATTATTTGGCATCAATCCTAGTCTTTTTTAGTTGTTATTGGTTTGCTCCCGTATATTTTTAATCCTGTACCGTCCGGATCACGTGATCGTTACTGACTACCATCCCACGGGAATCCCGCCGGAATCCTGAAAAAATGTCAGTCTCTATTTGGCAGTAGATCCATCTGTGTGAGACGTCTCTACGGATCTATGCTCCATATTTCTGTCAGTCAGACCAGGTGTGGTAGAGTGGGGGGCTGCAGTATCCATGGTGGGGAGGTTGCTGGGGTTTCTGGTGCCTCTGCAGAGAGATGATCTCCTCCTTAGCTGCCTGCTGTGCTGGACCTCCTTTGTTAAACCTGCCTTCCTCTCAGTTCGCTCCTCTTCTAAAGTCCATCCATCCCATCAAACACACGGAGCTCATTTGTAGCTGTAAAATGACCAGTGGTATGAATGCAGTGAACTGAGCCTTTAAAGGTTGTTTATTCCTGAGCTTTTTCAACAATCCTGCTGTGAAACCGTTTAACATACAAACTGTAAATGATGAAAATGATCAAAACATCCTTTCTTCTGATCCCCTCACAGCTCCGGACCACAGAAATGCACTTCATGCATCAAAGAAGACTTGTTTGAGGAGCCCACCTCCATCCTGCAGCAAGGAGGCGTAAGTAGATCAGAACCCTACTTTAGTCCAGTCTGATGTTTATTCTGTTTAAACTATGACCTTCTGGGGGCCCCCCCTCCGTCTACTAGGGGCCCGCAGTAGGGATCAGAGCTACCTTGGTATGCTTTAGTGAACAGTGGGTTGATGGGAGAGATGTTGCCCTGAGGACAGGAACATGCTGAACAGAAATGGGCAACATTTAGGCCCCGAAACCAGAACAACGGCTCTGGGACCCACTGGGGGCCCAGGATGGATGCTGTTCAGGTGTAGCTGAGCCATGGTTTTAGAGACTTAAAGCATAGTTTTTGTTCCTTTTAATCCAGGTAGATTTTAAATGTGACTCATTTAACAGCCCAAATCCTCAAATATGTTTAATTTTCATAACTTTATGATCTGAAACAGTAGAGAAACTATCAGGATCCCTTTCGATTATTAACAGCTGTACGGTCTGACAGACAAATGTTTTTCCAATCATCCATCATCCATCCATGGATGATGGATGATTGGATAGATGAGGGATTATTGATGGATGTTTCAATTCTATTCAGTTTATTTCTATAGCTCCAATTCACATCATGTCATCTCAGGTCACTTTCCAGTTCACCAGATCATCCAGTCAGATTGNTTTTGTAAATCATATTACTACTAATTTCCCTCCATAGATTATAATAGTCATTATCAAAGAGCAATCCTTAAAATTACTGAATAAACTATATCAATATATAATATTTGTAAAACATACTATATTAATATGAAACTTTGTGTTTATTGTAATAAAGTTATTGGTTTATTCTAAAATACTGAGTTCCTTGTTCCTTCAGCTCTCGGCTTTTATTTATCAGGTGCTCTGTTAACTCAGGTCCGAACGAATCATTCTCTGCCATAAAAACGCTTCGCTGTCGTAACATATCTGCCATAAAGTGTATGTCGCAAAACACAACATCCTCTGACATTTATCATCTTAATGTTTATTTGTAAAATATATAACTTTGCATATACCTCAGTATGAGTTCAATTTAAATCTGAATAAATCTGTGAAATCTAACTGAAAGGTCATTTTAGAATCAGTTTTGCTCTTTTAAGGGGTTAATATAATCTGTGACTCTGGTCTGACCCAAGATGGCCGCCCTACAGGCACGTCGACCAGCGTCCAATGAGGCATCTAGCTGTATAATGTCTATGTTTGGGACATCCAGATGGGGTCGGTATGGGTGCTAGAAGGTTAGAGTAGAAGTACGGTGGCCCTGAAGTCCAAACCACATCATTTCTCCTGCTTGGTTAGCTGGTCTTAACCAGTCTGAGGGTTTCAGCAGATCCGCTGCAAATTAATCTAAAGGCAGTTTTAATTCTTAGGATAAAAAAATAAAATAAAAACAAAGAAAGAAGAAGAAGAGACATGAGAGCAACATGAGAATGAAGGAAACTGATAGAGGAGCAGTGGGATAAAGGAGGAAATGTTAGATTTTATTATAGTATCCAAAAAAGGTTTGGGGATTTAGGAAATTTTATTGGATTTAAAAAGAAGAAGATATTATATCTAGGATAAGATTCGGACTTATAGGATTAAATAGTGCTCTTAAAATAATGAATAAGCATAATACAGGGTGTATTTATGGGAAATTAGAAACTGTCCAACATATTTTTTTAGAATGTAATAAATATACTCAGGAGAGAGAGAGATGTTGCGTAGAGAGTTAGACAGGAATAAAAATAAACTAGATATAAGGAATGCTTCAAAGGTCATCTGAGGATGTAGTTTTTGGGAATATTTTTAGTTTTCTAAGAAGAACAGGTATTTTTAGGGAGAATATAATAGATGGTCTGATCTATACTCCAATCTGGAAGGTGGCGGTAATGCGCCTAGAAGTTAAACCTGTATCAGTTATTAAAAAATAGAAGAATGAAGAGGAGGAGCAGGGGCCAGTGACGTCATGCTACCTTCAGGTGTGCTGTGATTGAACCACGGCTGCAGCTCCTTCCGTTGGTTCATTAACCAAACCACAAACCAGCTGGAACTTAAACTCTTACTTTGAAGAGTCAGCAGTGACGTAGCTTCCGGGAGGATCACCTGTCTGCAGGTCCAATGCATGCAGCGATGCTGCTGCATCCTCGGCTCCGCTCCGCAGGTAAACAGAAGCAGCTTCCTTCATTTTGCATCAAGCAGCGCTGAACAGTGATTGCGCTCTTGAACACACCCCGCTCAGCCCCTGATGTTGCTGAGGGGGAGTCATGGCTGCTCCACAGCCTTCTCCTCCATCTTCCCTGGAAAGCAACAAGCCGGGCTTCCCGAAGCAGATCCTGGCCAACATCCTGGAGGACAAACATCTGTGCAACTCCTGCGAGAAGGTCCTGCGGAGGCCCCTGCAGGCCCGCTGCGGCCACCGCTTCTGCTGCTTCTGCTTCAACAAGCTGCTCAGGTGAGGAGGGGGGCGCGTGGGGCTGCTGGGGGGGCGCGTGGGGCTGCTGGTGGGGTTACTGGTTCCAGCAGAACCAGGCTCAGTGTGAGCGGCCATCTGCTGAGGATGACTGGGGTTCAAGGAGACAGAAGCAGACATAGAAAAAGAAGCATAGATACAAAAGGCAACCAGCTCCACAGGAACAATCAGATCTCTGATATCAGATGGAGCTTGGCCATTTAAGGCTTTATATGTGAGAACCTAGAGAGACGCTAACAACCATTAGCCTGAACTTTCTCAGATTACGGCTGATTTCACATACAGGAACCTGTGGTCAATTAGCTCCTCTTCCCATAGCTCTGGAGTTCCTAGCTCTATATTTCTTATAGTTCCTAGATGATGGTAGATGATTGACAGTCTATTAGAAGCTCCCCCTACTGACCTTTCAAACTGTAGATCCCAATGACTAGATAGGCTAACTGACTGTTTTCATATGGAGCCTAATCCAGCAAGATTACATCTAATTACATCTTCAGCTCATTTCAGTGAACATCTTTCCTGATAGTTGGTGACCAATCAGGATTGATCCACCTGGAAACCATCTCAGATAGTTTCTCAGTGCATCTCTAGTTTCAGAGATCCTTCCTGCTGTCAGTCCGCCGTAATGTTTCTGCTCTCTGCTTTGTGCTCAGCTACTGATGACGTGGTGAAGGTGGAGGTGTGGGATGTTGTGGACAAAGGTGAGTGTTCAGATCCACCTTTAGATGTTTTATTCTTGTCTTCATGCTGCAGACTTTAAAGCCTTCACAGAGGCGTGTGTTCAGTTTGCTTTTTTTCTCTGTCTCTAGTCTTGATGTTGTCTTTTTTTTACACTTCCTTTGCAATCATCTAAGGCCAAAAATATCCTCTTCCTGAAGGTGGAGGTGAGCCGGACTGGAATGCATAGAAACTCCTGTGTGCCTTGAGTGTGCCTTGCCTCCTCTAACCTTATGTTGAAAGTCTGTAGTTAGAACGTGTGGCTGTGCTCAGAGCTGAATTTCTCTTCATGTGATTCTGTTTTCCCATATTTAGCCTGGACATCCACTCTGCTTTCCTTAGAGGATAATCGCTCTGCTTGCTTTACTCACAGAAAATAGCTGCAGTAGACTTTAAGTCTTCAAGCCTTGTTCCTGCTCTTCTTGTCTGAACTGCTGATTTTCATCTCCTCACAGGTAAAGGAAAGCGCCGTGGGGACAACTTGAAATTGGAGAATGAGCCTCAAGAGGTGAGCGTCACATGGCTGTCATGGGGTCAGGCTACTAGCTTTACAGCTGAAGGAGCTCTGGTTAAACCTTTGTGTTGCAGTCAGACGAGGTGGCCCTGGATGCAGAGTTCCTGGATGTCTACAAGAACTGCAACGGTGTCATCATGATGTATGACATCACCAAACAGTGGTAAGACCTGCATTTAAGCTAATGAGTGCAAATGATTCACTTTTCTATGGTCAGAAACTACCTCCCAGAGAAAGGGATTAACTAATGATAATCCCTCCCAAGAATTGACTAATCTAAAGCAGCACTGTTTGAATTTTCAGCTTTGCAGATATCTGAACAGCAGAAACAAAGAGGAGCTATTTTATCAGCTTTTATCCCTGATAAAAACAGAAAAAAGGCTAAATCCAGTCCTCTGTGCTTCCATCTGGTATTCCTGGGATCAGAAATGGATTCTTTTAATCCACATAATGAATAATTCCTGCGTAGAGCTCCATTGGGGGATTTGCCTTGGCCTTGCATAGATACATTTTATAGATGGCACCCTAGTTTATTAGTCACTGAGAGTTATACTAAAGGAGATGCTGTTGCAGTTCTCATGAAGGCGACTAGAGACACAATACAATAAATAACTAATGAATTAATTCATACTTAAATGGGTCATTNTAGTTGGGGTTATTAAACATCTTCCCTCAAGTAAGGCTCCAGGTTTAGACGGCTTTACAGCCGAGTTCTATAAATCATATCCTGAGGAATTGGCACCTTTACTCCTAAACACCTATAATGAAGCCTATCAAATGGGCAGGCTCCCACCTTCGCTGTTAGAGGCCATTATTACGCTTATTTTGAAAATAGATAAGGATGCTTCTGATTGTAAAAGCTACCGTCCCATAAGTTTGACCTCTTATGACAGTAAAATTTTATCCAAAGTTCTGGCCAATCGATTAAATCGAGTTATAACCTCGCTCATTCATGTGGATCAGGTTGGATTTATACACTCACGCTCCTCAACAGATAACGTTAGGCGACTGATTGACATCATGTGGGCAATTCAGGATAATCAGTCTCCTGTGGCTGCTATCTCGTTGGATGCCAAAAAGGCATTCGACAGAGTTGAATGGCGATATTTATTCATAACTCTGGAATGCTTTGGCTTCAGCAAAAGCTTTATTGACTGGATTAGGCTCATATACGCCCACCCCAAGGCTTCGGTACTTACAAATGGTATTATAGGACCCTCATTTGAACTAGGTCGTGGCACTAGGCAGGGGGATCCTCTTTCCCCCCTTCTCTTCGCCCTTGCCCTTGAACCATTGGCAGTTGCTATACGCAGAGAGCCTACAATTCCAGGTGTAAGCGTAGGGGGTGATTGTCATAAACTTATGCTGTACGCCGACGACATTCTTCTCTTCGTATCCGACCCAGAGCATTCCTTTAACTCTCTGTTCACAATAATTAACGCTTTTTCAGATATATCTGGCTATAAAGTAAACTGGACCAAGTCGGAGGCCCTGCCTCTGACTTCCTACTGCCCTAAGACCGTTTTTCCAACTGGCACGTTCTCTTGGCCTCAGAAAGGCATAAAGTATCTTGGTATTGTCTTCCCACCGCGATTGTCAGACTTAATAAAAATAAATTTCGAACCGCTATTAAGTGGGATGAGAGCTGATGTTGACCGCTGGAGTCAGCTTTATCTCTCTATGTGGGGGAAGGTAAACATTATAAAAATGGTCTGCACACCTAAGCTTAACTATTTGTTACAAGCTCTACCTGTCCATGTTCCTTTGAACTATTTTAAACAATTTGATCAACTCTGTAATTCATTTATTTGGAGCAATAAGAAACCTAGACTTAACTTGAAAAAGTTACAGAGACCAGTGGATAAAGGTGGACTTGGGGTGCCTAATTTACTCCATTATCACTATGCTTTTTCTCTTAGGCATCTGGCACATTGGTTTCTACCCCCTGAGAAAGCACCCCCCTGGTTCCACCTTGAGAGCATGGCTTGCTTACCCTTTACACCGCTCTATACTCTATCAACTAATCTTGGCCCTTTTAACCAGTCACATCCTATTCTGTCTCACTTGAAAGGAGTATGGAAGAAAATGTCAAAAATTTTTAGATTTGACCCCCACCTCAACCGGTCTGCTGGTATTTGGCATAACCCCAAACTCTGCATAGCAAAGTCACCATTTTTTTGGAAGACCTGGTATCAGAAAGGTATAAAAGTGTTGGGTGATTTATACGACAACAATGTATTGAAATCTTTTGAAAAACTCGCACAAGACTTTAATCTACCCCGGCAGGATTTTTGGAAATATTTGCAATTACGACATGATGGTAAATACATTTGGCTCACCCACGGAGCCCCCCTTGTGCTGTGATACTCTGGAGCACATTAAAAATGTTTTTGGACGTGGACACGAGGCCTCAGTCTATTATAAAATGTTACTGTCATCCTCAGATCTCAATATGCTGTCCCTTAAAAGAGCCTGGGAAACTGATTTGAATCTCTGTTTTACAGAGGAGGAGTTGAATAAAATTCTTGGGAATATGACAAAGTTGTCACGAGAACTACGTTCTAGATTGGTCCAATTTAAAATCCTGAACCGCATATACTGGACACCTTCTAGATTGCATAAAGTGGGATTAGCAGACTCTGATGCCTGTTGGAAGTGCCAGCATGATAGTGGCACACTTTTGCACATGCTCTGGGGATGTCCTAAAGTTCAAGTATATTGGTCCTCTGTTCACACTGTTGTGGAGGGGGTTGTTGGTCAGGGCATTCCTTTTACTAGCAAGCTTTATGTACTGGGAGATCCTTCAGTTTTGAATTACTTGCCTTCCTCTCTTGCACAGACAGCCATCATGCTGGGGAGAAAACTTTTAGTGAGGGAGTGAAAGGCCCCATCAACACCTACTTTCACCCAGTGGCACACCGAACTTGGACAACTGGCAGCATTTGAAAGATTATCATACAGACTGTTAAATAGAGTAGATGATTATAATAACAAATGGGCCCCCTACTTTTCCTACACCGATCAATGACGTTTCTAGCTCAGATCAACCTTAATCACTAATGTCTGCTGTAACCTTGGATAAGTGCATTGTTGGCATCTTTATTTTTTCTATTTTATTTTATTTTATGGTTTGTTTTGCTTTATATTGTTTGTTCTCAGTGCTCGCATACCCAATTGGTATAATGTGCAACATGGTATACTTTGTATGTTTTATTTAGTTAAAATCTAAATTAAGTTCAAGTCATAAAAAAAAAAAAAATTAGAAATATCCTGTCCAGGGGTGATGCTGAGAAACTAGTCCATGCATTTGTTATGCCTGATTCGACACATTCTCTGCTTTTAGATTAGATTAGATTCAACTTTACTCTCATTGCACGGGCACAGGTACAAGGCAACGGAATGCAGTTTAGGTCTAACCAGAAGTGCAACAGCAGCATCTGCAGGATAAATAATGGTTCCATAAATACAGGACATGGGTTTGCACTTAATAAGTATAGAGAGAAATACCATTATAAACAGAATCTTACTAAGAGATAAATATACCGTATTTGCACGACTATAAGGCGCATATAAACGTCTTTTTTCCCTCAAAATGTGCGGCGTGCCCTATAGTGCGGTGCGCCCTATAGTGCGGTGCGCCCTATGTGTGTTGTCACTGCGGACGTTTGAGACCACCATCATCTCATTGAGGAGATGATGAAAGAGTGGCTGAGGGAGGTGAATGTAAGGAGACCAGGTGTTTTTTTCCCACTTATAACCACCGCTATTAATCTGTGATTCCATGTGTGCCCATCTTACAGCTGATGTGAAAAACATGGTGAAACAAATGAACGCTGTGCTTGCTGTTATTGCGGGAGGTCTGACAAAGGAACTTCAACTGCTCGACATCGGTGTGAACCGGCCGTTAATGCTGCATTCACACCGGACGCAGCAGGTGTAGCAGAAGCAGCAAGTTTACATACAAAGTCAAGGCGCAGCAAAAGTTCCCGCAGCACGTTTTGAGCAGCAGGCTCAGCGCGTTGGGAGCGTTTAATCATCTGATGCGCCGCAAACTCGCTGCTGCTCGATATGGAAAAATTGAAGTTTTGCTGCTCGATTCACTGCATCAGCCAATCAGAGAAGCTGATCTGGGAGCTGACAGCGAGACAGACACATCGCTGATGATACAGAGCACTATGATCGCTCCTCTGAAAGTTTATTAACGCCTAAATTAACTTAAAATGCTGAAATCTGCCGACAGAATATGTTCGCTTTTATTATCCTGGTGCCTCCAGTTTAGATTATTTTGATGAAAATCACCTGCCAGCTGCCGCGGTGAACTGCGAGGAGGCGACCCGGCCAGAGGCTGCTGTTGAATTAAGTTTTCAGGTGGATTTTCCCATTTAAAAACATATTAAAACTACTTTAATCCCACTGATCACAGCAAATACAGCTGCAAGGCAAAGAAAGGATAGTGAAGCTCTGCCCAACGCGCCTCAGACCCACTTTTGCACCACGAGCCAGAGCAGCAAAGCTGCTTCAGCCGTGCTTCAAAACTAACTGGTACAATCTAAACTGCAGGCACCAGGATAATAAAAGCGAACATATTCTGCTGGCAGATTACTGCATTTTAAGTTAATTTATGTGTCAATAAACTGTTTCAGAGGAGTGATCACAGCGCTCTGTGTCATCAGCAATGTGTATGTCTCACGGCCAGCTCCCAGGTTTGATTTATACTTTGTAATAAATACATGAATAAAGCACAATCATACTCAGTTTTGCTCCCGCTCTATTTTTAAATACGCAGTAGAGGTATTTAAACGTAGTAGAGAAAATGTAACGGTATATAAAACCTGAGCCCTATAATCTGGTGCGCCTTATGTGTGTGTTAAATACAGTAATGGCACACATAACTGAGACTGCGCCTTTTAGTACCGTGCTCCTTATGGTCGTGAAAATACGGTAGTATATAGATAACTAGTGTTATGAACTAAATTTACAGCTGGATATGTACCGAATATAATATACAGGTGGATATTACTATAAAAAGGGTTTTTTTCAGTTTTGTACAAATGGGTTTTACTATAAAATGAATAAATAAAGTTTGGACAGAAGCTATCTAAATTAAAGTGCAGTGGAAGGTAATTGCATATTGCAGTTAAAGTACGTTATTGCAAATGTATATGTAAACAATTGGTACTGTGAATAACAGTCTGCAGTGCAAATCAAAAATAAGTCAAGGTGAGTAGTGCAAGATGCATATAAAGAGTTGTTACAATAGTAACAGTCAGGAGTGCAGGTGAACATTACAGTCTTGTAAAAAAAATGGCAATATTTTGCAGAATAGCAAAACGGTAGTAGGTGTGAGGAAGGAGAGTAGTCTATCAGTGAGAGTTAAAGTTCAGTAAACAGACAGCTGTGGGGAAAAAGCTGTTCTTTAGTCTGCTGGTTCTGGTCCAGAGGCACCTGAACCGCCTGCCGGAGGGTAGGAGAGAGAACAGTGTGTGGGCTAGGTGGGATGAGTCTTTCAGAATTCTGCGGGCTCAATGTTCGCAGCTTTTCTTCTGGGTGTGCTCAATGGTGGGTAGGGAAGTTCCAGTGATGTCATGGGCGGCTTTCACCACACGCTGCAGTACCTTGCGCTCTGCAACAGAACAGCTTCTGTACCGCACTGTTGCACAGTCAGTCAGGATGCTTTCTACTGCACAGTGACAGAAGTTCACCAGGATAGTTAAGGGGAGCTGATTCTTCCTCAGTGTCCTCAGGAAGAAGAGGCGCTGGTGAGCCTTCTTGACCAGGCAGGAGGTGTTGGTTGACCAGGACTTGTCCACTGAGATGTGAGTCCCCAGAAACTTGAAACTGGAGACACGTTCAGCAGCCATTCCATTGATGTGGATGGTGTTTTGGGTGCCTGTTGAATTTTTCCTGAAGTCTATGATGAGCTCCTTCGTTTTGGTGGTGTTAAGGAGCTGGTTATATTCAGTGCACCATGTGGCCAAGTGCTTGCTCTCCTCCCTATAGGCAGACTCATCGTTGTTGCTGATGAGACTAATCACTGTGGTGTCGTCCGCAAACTTGATGATGGAATTAGACGCATACACAGGCTTGTAGTCGTGGGTGAAGACTTAGCAGAGAAACGGGCTTAGCACACAGCCCTGTGGTACACCAGTGTTAAGTGTGATGGATGTGGAGCTGTTGGAGCCTAATCCGACATTCGGGGGTCTGTTGGTCAGAAAGTCCAAAATCCAGTTGCACATGGAGGTGCTGATGCCCAGGCCTGAAGTTTGGCTAATAACTTTGCCGGAATAACAGTGTTGAATGCTGAGCTAAAGTCAACAAACAACATGCGTGCATAAGTGTTCTTATTGTCCAGATGTGTGAGCACAGAGTGCAGTGCCATGGAAACTGCATCCTCTGTGCTCCTATTGCTGCGGTATGCACTCAAACTGGTGTGAGTCCAATATGGATGGTACCAAGTCTTTCAGGTGTGCCAGGACCAGCTGCTCAAAGCACTTCATTATGATTGGTGTGAGTGCTACAGGGCGGTAGTCGTTAAGGCACCTTGGGCTGAAGTGTTTTGGCACTGGCACAATGGAAGTGCATTTGAACAATGTTGGTACAGCTGCTTGGGCAAGAGACAGGTTGGAAATATCCGTAAAAACCCCAGCGAGCTGCTCCTAACATGCCCTGAGTACACGTCCAGAGGTCCAGAGGAGGGCTTCACTCCTTGCCAGATTGTTGATCCAGTTATGGTTAGCAAGCCTGAGCCAGCCTGCCTGTCTGACTCTCTGACTTCCCTTGGAACCTGACCCTTAACCTAACCTGTTTGTCCTCTCTGCCTTCCAGGAAGAACCCAGTCTGTAAACCTTTGGACTTTCCCTCTGCCTCTGTATGTGTTCTGCATTTGGGCTAGTAACACAACCTGATCATGACAGAACAATCTGGCCAACAGACTAACCCAGCGGAACCACCCTGGATGGATTCGATCCGTTGGTCACGCAGATGTTATGAGGAAACGAATCGCATCTTGCAGGAACTAGAGAGCCGTCTGAAGACCCCTGAGCCCGCTCTGAGCCATCTGCAGACCCCTGAGCCCACTCTGAGCGGTCTGGAGACCCCTGAGTCCGCTCTGTGTCTTCCTAAGCCCCTGTTCCTGTCCAGGAGCCGCAGTCGGCGGTCTCCTCTGTTCCTGATTCGGAGCCGCAATCAGCGGGCTCCTCTGTTCCTGATCCGGAGCCACTATCGGCGGGCTCCTTTGTTCCTGATTCGGAGCCTCAATCGGCGGGCTCCTTTGTTCCCGATCCAGAGCCGCAATCGGCGGGCTCCTTTGTTCCTGATCCAGAGCCGCAATCGGCGGGCTCCTTTGTTCCTGATCCGGAGTCACATTCGGTGGTCTCCTCAGTTCCTGAACCGCAGTCGGCGGTTATCTCTGGGTCTGCTCCTGAGCTGCAGTCCGCGGTCCTGTCTGAGCCTGTTGCAGAGCAACTGAAGCGGAGGCGGCGTCCTCCTGGGTGCTTCCTGCTGAAGCGGAGGCGGCGTCCTCCTCTGTGCTTCCTGCTGAAGCGGAGGAGGCGTCCTCCTCGGTGCTTCCTGCTGAAGCGGAGGCGGCGTCCTACTCGGAGCTTCCTGCTGAAGCAGAGGCGACGTCCTTCTCGGTGCATCCTGCTGAGGCGGCGTTCTCCTCCTAGGTTCCTGCAGCATTGGAGACGCCGTTCTCCAGAGCGTCTGTCTCAGTTCCGGCCCCACGGCCGGTCTCCTGAGCGCCTGCCTTGCCTCCGGCCCCACGGCCGGCCTTCTGAGAATTTTCCTTGCCCTCGCCCACCCTGGGTGGGTTGTTTTGATTTTCGGACTCTGTTCTGTTTTTGTGCCTGCCTCCCTGGTTCCCCCTCCGCCCACCCTGGGTGGGTTGTTTTCTGTTTTTGGGTCATTATAGGGCGTCTGGAATCTGCCCTTGAGGGGGGGGTACTGTTGGGATCCAGAGGTTTGCCCACCAGAGGGCGACGTAGATCCCTTTCTGAGGGTTTCTGCTGTCTGTTAGGATCCAGAGGCTTGCCCACCAGAGGGCGACGTAGATCCCTTTCTGAGGGTTTCTGCTGTCTGTTAGGATCCAGAGGCTTGCCCACCAGAGGGAGCCGTAGATCCTTTTCTGAGAGCTTGTGCTCATCTGTGACAGCTGTTCCCCATCGGCTCATTAAGAGGTCCTACATAAGCTGGAGGAGAGCTTCACTCCTTGCCAGATTGTTGATCCAGTTATGGTTAGCAAGCCTGAGCCAGCCTGCCTGTCTGACTCTCTGACTTCCCCTGGAACCTGAACCTGAACCTAACCTGTTTGTCCTCTCTGCCTTCCAGGAAGAACCCAGTCTGTACACAATAAACCTTTGGACTTTCCCTCTGCCTCTGTGTGTGTTCTGCATTTGGGCTAGTAACACAACCTGATCATGACCAAAAAGCATTTTCAGAAATGCTTTTTCATTTTAAGAATGTGGCTGCATTGTTTGACTCATAAATTAAATTAGTAATCAATAATCCTTTTTGCATTTTCATTTTCTTCTTTAACACTGCCCATCCTTATTAATTTTATTCATGAGTCAAGTAATGCAGCCACATTCTAGCAAGGAAAATGCTGGGTAGAGAGAGCCGGTGTGGTGTTTGCTTTAGCTTAGCTCTTAGTCCTCTGCGATTCCCCCACTTTTTTCACGATCTCGGCGCCGCTTGGGAGCAGTTCCACCCGGCAGAGCGAAGTGAGAAGCATGGGTGTTCTGGCTATCTAGGGAAGGAGTCAAAGGTTGTCCACAAGACTGTCAGAAATCCAATATCCAAATGCTCATAACGTATGTAAGGGCACAACTGTTTTGCACGAACAGACCCGAAAAGTATGTCAAACCAAACATCCTATAAAGTTCCAATAAGCCACTACTTAGGCACTGGGGTCACGTTTTCTTAACGCAGGCAAAAGAATTTGAAGTCCAAACTTGTAGATATTCAGTTGATTTATTTCCTAAATGTTTAGCGACATTACAGAGTTGCTCTGTAACCTCTCTTGCACTAGTAAAACAACCATAGGCCCCTAACCCAAATGCCTGCTGGTCCTTACCAGGCTCCTACATTTATAGAAAGTGGACCGCCCACTTCTTCCTGTTTTATATAAATAAATACACAATTTCAACAATTAACCTATAAATTAATTAAGACAAATATATAATATATAATTAAGACAAATATATATATATATATATATATATATATATATATAGATATAGATATAGATATAGATATATACATATCTATATATATATGAATTTAAGAATAAAATAACAACGTTCAAATGGACAAAGTAATAAAGCGAAATAGCTCCAACTCTCCGGCCCCTAATTGTGAATCTTGTCACAATTACTTTAACAAGGAAAAGGAGCTATTCCCTCAAAATGTCCCTAACTCCTAAGGATGAAGCTTCCAGTAGCAAAAGAAGTTTGGCCACAGGTCTTTCCAAAATACTGGTCTTTGTTTGTAATCGCACAGAGCTCACCAAGCCTCTTGCATCCTGGTTTACACATACAGTGGGCACCAGTTGGAAATGGACGGTTTCCTGCGTGATTCCTGTGTGAATCACGATGTATTTCCTAAAGCCAGCTTTTTTATTTCAAAAAGAACTGCAATGTACCCGGAACACCACCAGGTGGTGCTTGGGACCTCTGCCGTGCTGAGGGTGACGTTTGTGGGCCTGCAGTCAACTGAAAAGCAGGTTTATTGGGGATCTTGGTGTGATATTGTGCTATTTTATTTTGTTTTTGATTAAAATAAAGTTAATGAATTAATTTAACATAGTGACTGCATAATCTTATTTTATGAAAATGGTTGCGTAGTGTTAAAGAAAAATGATTATTATTAGTTTTTAATACAGTTAATCTTATGGCATGTGTAAAAGGTATGTTGAACACTCATTTTGAACATATTTCTTAATTTTGAACGAGTTTGTGAAGATAACCTTTCCTTGAACCAAATTACTGAATTTAAGTTTGTTCCTGAGAATTTATGGCAGGAAGAGGCCCCGCATTCCACAGCTATTCTGTGAGGTCTTATCTTATGTTTTCTTTAGCCAGAAGTCCTTAGAATTCCTGGAGGCCAGGCCGTAAATTAGGGGAAGTTCTAAGTTTCTCTGAGTGTCAGAGATAGCTCCTGGCTGGAGGAGCAAAAGCCAGCCTTATTTGAATAAATTAAATACAAGAGGATAAAACACACAGAAGTAACAAATCAGATTTGCTCTTGCAACTCTCCAAAGATGTCTTTGTACGTCTTTGCTTTCTTTCCTTCTCTCCATTTATGTCAGGTAAATGAATGTATGTCTCCGTTGTTCTGCAGTTTCTGGTGTAAGTTTGTGCATTGTCTAACTTCTAAGTTTATGCATTGTCTTATATTGGATTAAACTCCGTAATTCTGTGACGTCAACACGCATTGCTGGTTTTCCTTGTGGCCACATGCAGCTCGCCGAGAGGACCTGGGATATAAAGGAAGAGAGAAAGCCAACCTTTTTCCAAAGTTAACTATTTTAGAATAATATCTTCCTTAACAGTAGTTATAGATACACCTCCGATCTTATCTGAGATCTGTTTATTTCTATTTATTTGCATCTCTATTATTTAATGAAAAATAAAATTAATTAAGTTGGAGCCGGGGATACGGACTG